AAGGGCCCCCAGGGGCTGAAAATAATAACACATTTGCCGTCCTTTTTTCTACGACACGACCATGTCTGAGGAGGGCTTCTGGCCCTCTGGGAAGCCTGCGGGGCCTCCTCCGAGGCCCTGGCCGCCCCACGAGAAGGCCCTATAGGCCCCCTCCCACGGCCCCCCAATTCGGTGCGCCGCCGAGGAGCTCGATCGTCCCCCCCTCGGCCACGCGCAGAGGGAGGGGGGGGTGCGGTCGGACCAAGGTCTGAGATCGAGGTCGGCCCAGGGAGGGTATCCGAATGCAGACATGGTCGCGTCGTAATAAACAAAAAGTCAGGACGACAAGCTGTTCGCTGGTTTCGGCCCCCGGGGGCCCCTCCCGGGCCTCGGGACCGTCAAACAACGACTCAGGATGAAAAACCGGCCCCGTGGAAAGTGTCTGGATTTCAGGGACGCCGTCCTGAAAAATCAAGACGTCGCATGTCCGGGTAAGGTTATTCCTGTTTGTTGGATGTTTGGTGCATCCTGGGGGAGGGCACCCTCGAGTGTTCTTCAGCTTGGGCCAGTGGGGAGTCCCACGTTCTTGAACGATGGTATTCTGTCGTAGGTCCGACTGTAGGGGGAGGGTGCAAGGCTTGTTAGAAGCAACCCTGCTTCTAAGAAGCATTCCCCCTCCCCTATACCCCTGTGCGCGTCGCCAAGATTCGAGGACCCATCGCCTGACGAGAGGACAGACATCGGGCGGCTGGACCACTCGGGTTCGGTAGCAGATCAGGGGGGCTTTTATATCATGCGCCCTCGAAGATCCGTCTATAGAGTGCTGTAGCGTCGACTGGTCGATGAGATAGTTCCGATTTAGCCTCGATGAGCGTCGATTAGCGTCGAGTTAGCGTCGATTGGCGTCGACTTGCGGCGATCAGCGCCGATTCACAGAAACCAGCAAGACGGTGTGGGAGGCTCCCAGGAGTTGCCGCAGATCTCGAATGACAGCACGAGGCGCCCGGTGTTTCCCGCCTTCACAGGCCCCCTGAGGCTGGTCGCGGGTCGCACCCCCCTCCAAGAGCTGCCCAGAAGGAATCGGCAGTCCCTGGCCACAGGTCCGTCAGAGGTCCGTCGGGCGTGACGTACAGTCACAACTCAGAGTGAGGACGCATGGATGTCCTTAGGCTACCCCTGCGTCTTTGCCTCTGCGGCTCGTCGTTCGCCGTTTTCACTGGCCAGCTCATCAGGGTGTTGGCAGTCCGCCGCCAACTTCGTCGTCCAAGGCCCTTGCGTCCTTATCGCCCGTCCTTGTTACAGATGTCGACTGTACTGGCGGGGGGGCGACAGAGCGGGTGGTCATTTCAGAAAGAGCCTCGCCTTCGAGGAGCGAAGGGGTTGACATCCCTGCCGCGGCGGAGGGTCGGCGGAAGAAAAGCGAGGCGGCCACCGCCGCCGGAAGCTGGCGGAAGGCCAGCGGAAGCCGGCGAAGGTAAACATCGGTATCCCAGGAGATGGCACGTTTTGTCGTTCAGGGTCTTCTTTGAGACCGCCAAGGGTTAGCGGGCGAATAATGGTATAACATAACTCTTCCGTCGCCGGGGGCGCTGGCTGCTCCAGGGCGGCTGAACAGTTGATACCTTGACATGCCACCGTAAGGGCATCAATTTTCCAACCGCCCTGGGACAGGCGCCCCCCCCAACAGCGAAACAGTTTATCTTATACTGCTCTTCGCCTGTTACAAAGGGCGCTGGGAGAAAGGTGCACCTCTGGAGCCCGAAAGGGGCCCCCTGGAGCCCAAAAGGGGCACGGAAGGTGCACGCGTCTCCCCCCCACTGATCAACCCCAATGAATCAACGCCCCAGTCCGGCGGCCTGGCATTAAGTCGGGCCTGTCTCCCTACAGGAGGAATATTCAACAACAGTAAAAAATTGTCTGGGGACGATGTTTTAGGCATGTATATGTTAGGTATGTTTCTGAGTCTCTCTAATTGTCCGCCCCATATTCGCCTGTAGGGGGACATGCCCGACCTCAGCCTAGCATGTACTTCGAGCCCCCGGCTGGAGAGAGCGCGGCTGGCGCAGCATTTGCGGCGCTGCTGGCACGGATGCGCAGACTCGTGACTAGATGTGGCGAGCCCCCTCTTTCGCCTCCTCCTCCTCCTCCTCTTCCTCCTCGTCCCCCTCCCCCCCCTCCTCTTCCTCCTCTTCCCCCTCCCCCCTCCTCCTCCTCCTCCCCCTCCTCCTTCTCCTCCTCCTCCCTCTCCTCCTCCCTCCTCCTCCTCCCCTCCTCCTCCTCCTCCTCCTCCTCCCCCTCCTCCTCCTCCTCCTCCTCCTCCTCCCTCCTCCTTCTCCTCCTCCTCCTCCTCCTCCTCCTCCTCCTCCTCCTCCTCCTCCTCCCCTGTTTTGCCTCGTCCCTCCCCCTGCGTACTCCCCGCTGCACCGTCAAGGCTGGTCTTCTGGCGGTGGTGTGGCTGGAGTCTGTCTGTACATGTTGCCCTCCACAGGCCTCCGGCGTCGTGTTTTCATCGGTAAGCAGCACTGGAGCCCCACTCGACCCATTCCCCTGGGCAGGGTGTTCGGCCGTGGCTTATGTTGTACTGCCCCTGGGCCCAGCAACGACACCCAGATGCCGAAACAGCTCGAAAATGCCCTGCCCGAGAAAAACAGGGCGTCGGATTCCGAAGTCTCGGCCAAGCGCAGAGGGGGGCAAATGGAGGGAGGAAGGCTTCTTTGATGGAGGCTGCTTCTTACAAGGCGCGGGCCTTGTATATGGATGTAGAGCCCGCCCTTTGTTGAGAAAGCTGCCTCCTTGTACGACACCTTCCCCCCTCCTCCATACCCCCCTGTGCGCCCGCCACAAGTCATTCATCTTATGTTTCACGTCCACGAGCGGTGCGGAGAGTTTCAAATCCGCCTTGGCGTCTACCCAGATGACGCCTCTGTGCGTGGCGGAGGGGCGCGTCACGACGTCCGCTTTCAGACCTGGCTACGTATAGCCGTATAGCCTGCAGGGAAAGGGCGTATCCGTGCGTGCGCAGGGGGCCGGCCACGCGCTGCAGAGCCAGAGCCCTGGAACGAGCGCCACGAGGGTCTCGAAAGGTATCGAGGATATCCAGGTTCTGAGAGCCTTTGGTCGACTCAGAGAAACCGACATGAGCAGAAACCTTCGAAGGTCCATGCGGATTTCGTGGATCCGCGTTGGGGCCCCTTGGCGGCGCCTCCAGCGCCGCCCCTGGCGCGCTCTGCGTGCCGGGGAGGGGGAGCCAGCACGGATCCAAGAAGTCCGCGCGGAGCTCCCACAGTTTAGATGTCTGTGCTGTTTTCTCTTCCTCTTTTCGTTGGGGGCCCCTGGAGACGAGACCTCCAGGGACTCTCCCCGCCCCCCCTCTCTGACCGCCCGCGGTCAGCATCCTGGAACGAGTGCCGCTTGCGGCTTCGGAGGTGGCCCGGGGTTCCTTGGGGACTGCCTCGGGTGCCTCGCCCGCGGAACTGGCGCAGGGTGGGGGCGCAGGCTCGTTCGCGACCGGCCCCGTACGTCGTGGGCCCAGGCGCATCTGCGAACGCAGCCGCCGTGGCCTCGGCAGGGGCTCCCAAGTGGGGAGGGGGAGGGGGAGGGGGAGGCGTTGCGAAGCAAGGGGGTAGAGTGGGGCAGGGGCAGGGAGAGGGTATGGCAGGGGGAGGGTGGGGAGGGTGGCCTCAGCAGGGGCTCCCAAGTGGGGGTACGAAGCGCGCGAGGGGGAGCCACTGCAGGTCTGCGGATGCACCCACCTGGGTCGTGGCTGGGGGCGTGGGAGAGGAAGCGCACAAGGGCTGGGCCAAACCTCTTGAGGAGGCCGTAGCGAATGTGAGCACGCTCGCTTGTTCCTCCGGTGGGCCCCCTCATGATGGCGACATGCACCCAGGACTCCTGGATTCCTCGTATGGGGACCTCAGGAGGGCGTGTGTTCAACTTTCACCCTACAGGGGGCGCTCCTGTTCTCCTGGGCAACGAAGGAACTGTCCGGGGCGAACAGTTGAAAGAGGTACTATTTTGTTCGTGGTTGTGGGTATTTCAGCCTGGCGGAGGTCTGAACGTGCATGGTGCAACATTCTGGATCGTGGTACGGGTTTGAAAGGACGCACTTGGGCCTCAGTCTGTGCTGGCATCGATCTGGGTCTGCGCCAACAGCGGCGCAGGAGTACAGAGTACATTGAGGACATGTCCCCAGGCGTCAAAGACGGATGCTGTTGCGCCGCAGGGTCGTTGGCTCCCCACGGCATTGCAGACGCCTGGGGCGGCAGGGGCCTTCTCGCGCATTCGGGCGGACGCAGGAGGGGAGGAGGGTGAGGGAGGGAAGGAGCAAGGATTTCCTCCGGGGACCATCCGGTAAAGCTGGAGCGATACAGGGAAGATTAGCGTGGCCCTGCGCAAGGGTGACACGCACACATCGAGAAGGGCATACGAGTTTACACTGATAGCAAGGATCGGCTTCCCAAGGGCACACTTGCATCCTTGCCTCTTCGGTCATTTCCGGTCCTCCCTCAACCACGTTCGATGGCCATTTTCGCTCGAAAGGCCTTGACATTGGCATCCAAGGCCCTTGCATCCTTCTTGCGCATCCTTACCATCAGTCTTAACTCTACGATTTCACCGCCCACGCGTGAAGGCAGGAGCCACGCGGAGGGGCTCCCAGCCTTGCCTACCGCCGCGTTGACACCGAAGCGGATCCGTGGCCGCCGACGTTTTTGTCGCCGTGCCTTGACAGGATGCGCAAGTCCCCTTCCGAGGGTCACCGAGCCTGCCCAGCGCCGTTTTTCCCGCGGCCCTGCCCGTACGGCTACCCTTCCCTAGTTTTCCCCATGTGTGGCCTCCTGGGAGACACCCTCGTCGCCACCGCTGGATTCGCCTCGAAATTCTGGTCAGGACGCACCGTGGGATAGGTCTGGGGGGCAGCGGTATCGGTACGTGTTGGTTTTCCCACTGGCCGGCAGTGCGCCCTGCGCAAGGCACAGAACACAGTCCTTCACGACTGAACTCCAGAGCAGAGCGAGACGAGCGCACGATAGACGCAGCAACGGCTCCTCGAAGGCCCCATCCAGGGCGTGCGGTACCGAAGATGGACCCGCGTGCGACGCCCGGCTTGTGCCGATGTGCACCGAACACGCGTGCAACGCTCCACCACTTAGTCATCGCTCTCGCGTGGCTCGTAGATTGGTTCTTCAGGTCCTCGAGTCTGCTCTCCAAGCTTGGCGGCACGACGCAGCTTTAGGTCTCCTGCCACTGTGTGCCGTCTGCGATCCTCTGGCTTTCCAGTTTGTTCATCAAGGCTGTCCCCACGACGCGGTCCTGGGTCACTTGCCGCTTGATGCCGCCCACGTGTTGCAAGAATCTCGCGTCCTTTCCCTCGCCTGCGATAATGTTGCACTTGCGGCGGTGCAAGGCCTGCAGCCCGTTCTCTTGGCCTGTCAGCAGGTTGTCGGTCACCTGGCCCTTGGTGCCGTCCGCGTTCATGCTGTACTTATATGCTCGAGCATGGTCCTCAGGGAGGGAGGAATAGGAACGAGCAGGAGAAAAGGGAGGACGATGAGGATTAGGGAGGGAGATGAGGATGAGGGAGAAAGATGAGGATGAGGGAGGAGCAGGAGAAAAGGGAGGAAGATGAGGATGAGGATGAGGGAGCAGGATGAGGGAAGAAGGGAGAGAGAAGGAGAATAGAGAGGAAGATGAGGATGAGGGAGGAGCAGGTTGGAGAAGGAGAAGGGGCGCAGTTGTGGAGCTCTGACGCATCGCTCAGGTCGGAGGAGTAAGGGAGGAGGAGGAGGAGGAGGAGGAGGAGGAGGAGGAGGAGGACGAGGACGAGGAGAAGGACGAGAAGGAGGAGGAGGAGGAGGAGAGGAAGAGGAGGAGGAGGAGGAGCAGGGAGTAGGAGGGAGGACGACGAGAACACGGAGGAAACGTAAAAACAACACTGATAGAAATGGAGAGAGCACAAACACACATACACACACACACACGCACGCACGCACACACACACACGCACACACACACACACACACACACACGCACGCAAACAAACACACACACACACATACACACCCACACACACACCACACACCCCCACACACACACCCACACACACCCACACAATCCCACACACCCCCACACACCCCCACACACCCCCACACACCCCCACCACCACCACCACACCCCCACACACCCCCACACCCCCCCCCCCCACACCCCCCACCACCCACACACCCCCACAGCACCCACCACACCCCCCACACACCCCCCCACACACACACACACACACACACACACACACACAAACACACACACACACACACAACACACACACCACACACACACACACCCACACCACACACCCACCCACACACACACACACCCACACACCCACACACCCACACACCCACACACCCACACCCACACCCCACACACCCACACTACCCACACCCACCCACCCCCCCACACACACCCACACACACCACACACACCACACACACACACCACACCCACACCCACACACCCACCACCACCACCCACACACCCACACACCCACACACCCACACACCCACACACCCCACACACCCACACCCCACACCACCCCCACCCCCACCCCCCCCCCAACCCCCACCCACCCCCACGCACGCACGCACGCCCGCCCGCCCGCCCGCCCGCCCGCCCGCGCGCACGCACGCACGCACGCACGCACGCACGCACGCACGCACCCACGCACCCACGCGCACGCGCACGCGCACGTGTACGTGCACGTGCACTTGCACTTGCACTTGCACCTGCCATTGCACCTGCACTTGCACTTGCACCTGCCATTGCACCTGCACTTGCACTTGCACCTGCCCCTGCACCTGCACCTGCATCTGCACCTGCACCTGCACTTACGCACACACAGACACCAACAACCCCACGCGCCGCAGCAGCCGCCGCCGTCGTCGCCGCCGCGCCCCCACCGCCCTCCCGCCGGCCAGGCGCGCGGCCCCCAGCGGACCGCGGCGTGCCCCTGGCCTCGTTTCTCTGCCGCCAGTAGGGCCACGCCGCGGCCACGCCGCGGGCCGCGTGACGCCCTCGAGCGCCGTCGAGCGCGCTCGCGCGCGTGCCGCGGGAGGTGTGCCGCCGCGCCGCTTGGCGTCGCTCAGGCGTGTGCATTTTCTTTCGGCGAAGACCATCGAGGAGCATGTTGGCTCATCTTGGGGAAGAGCAACGCACTAAAATGAAAAATGCAGGGGGACTGGACGTCCGAGCGATGGCCAGGCTGCGGACGATGGCGGAAGGCGGCGGCGGCGACGACGACGGCCCCCTCTGAGACCATTAGGGAGTCTCTTTATGGGAAGGAGGACCATCATGGGCCTTCACACTCATGCTCTACTGCGACGCGGTTCGGGGCCAGATCCGCATCATAGCGGTCTTCGATGTGGGCATCGTAGCCGTCTAACCACGGCGAACCAACTCATGATGTGTTCATTGATGCCACGCCACGCGCAATATTCCCTCCGTCGCTTCGTGACGGAAGGCTTCCGGGGAGCCTTACGGGGCTTCGGGGCCGTCAGATAGAAAGCAGCTCAGGCTGAAAGGCCGGTCCCCAGGAAGGAGCCCAGACCTCTGGGGGCTCACATTGTGACGACGCCGGGGGTCTGCGGCGGCGGCAGCCGCGACGACGACGACCACGACGCCGCCGCCCGCCATCGCCGCCGTCGTCGCCGGCTGCGCCGTGGCGCGCCCCGACACGCGCCGCTTCGCCTCCTCGGGAGGCTTCGCCGCCGCACCCCGTGCGAGCAAGAGGCGTCCGGTCCAGCTCGGGCCTCCAGAGGCCAATGCGGCAGGTGTTCACGCGGCCTCGGCGCAGAGGCGACGCCCAGAAGCGAAGGTTTCTGACGTTCCTGAGCTTCGGGGGGGGCTCTTAAAACGACACGAAGATCGGGACAACATCGGAACGGGATCACTCGAAATCTATGAGGATCGGCGGGTTTGGAGGATGTGTTGGGCGCCGCGGCCGCTCCAGAGCGTTCCAGAACGCTCTGAGAGCGCTCCGCCCTCATCCCTCCTCCCTCCTCCCTCCTCCCTCCTCCACGCTCTGGAGCGATTTATCCCGATCCTAGCCCTGTTTTAGCTCTCCGTCGCCTCGGATGCGCGCAGCCCGAGAAGGTAGTCAGAGCCAGGAGGGTGCCCCTGGTCGTAGGCCTCGAGATTGACACCAACACCAATATCGGTTGCGTGCCTCCACCGAGGCTCCGAGGGATGAGGATTCCAGTCTCGGTGATGGTGGTAATATTTTGGCTTCCAAGGTGGCCGGAATATTACCACCAACACCGAAATCTAGGATCATCTTCCCCCTGTGGAGGCGAACCCCTGTGTTGGTGTTGGTGCCAATTTCCAGGCCTCCAACCTGGGGGTTCCGGCCAACGTTGAGCGGAAGTGGCCCTCGGCTGATGGCTTCGCGTGAGCGTCTTCGATATCAGGGGGACGAGCAATGACATGAACATAGAATTTCGGGGGTCCGCGCGAATTTCTCGGATGGGCGCTGGACCTCCCCGGCGGCGCCTCCGGCGCCGCCCCTGGCGCGTTCCGCGCGCCAGGAAAAAAAGTCCAGCGCCGATACAAGAAATCCGCGCGGGCCTCCGAGTTTTCATGTTTATGTCATTGTTCGTTCCCCTGGATACTCGGTGGGCACGGGCTCTCGTCGCAACCGCTGGACACAGCTCCAGACAAGTGGTCGGGAGGGCGCCAAAGAGTTTGGAAGTCAAGGGGCCCTCGGCAGGTCCGCGCCGCCATCGAGAGGCCAGCGCAGGCGCTCCAGGCTGAGCGCCCTCCTCCTCCTCCTCCTCCTCCTCCTCCTCCTCCTCCTCCTCCTCCTCCTTCTCCTCCTCCTCCTCCCCCCCCTCCTCCTCCTCCTCCTCCGCCTCCTCCTCCTCCTCCTCCTCCGGGCTGGTTGGAGGCCAGAACTTGCGATGCATGATCTGTGGCGAGGTTGTTCATGTTCCAGGGAGACGGCGAAGAAGGAGGGAAACAGAAAGAGACTGCTCCTGGTAAAGCATAAATGGTTTACTTACGAAAGTTCCCACCAGTGCACCCAGCCTCTGGTACACGTTATAGGCTCACTCACTCAAGCAAAAGCTAAAGCGAATGATGATCACGTTGCCTGCACAGCCTGGAGGCCCCTTGTGAGCTGGCGGATGAGCATGTGTACTTTTATTGCATTGCGAATTCGGATTCGTCTCTCTTTCAACATTATTTGTGTATCTGCACACAGGCATTGCGACGCCGACAAGCAGCTGCGACCCTTGTCGTTTGAAAGGTGCCAAGCGATGTCAGTCGCTGTAGGGTTTCTGCACGTGTTCATGATATGTTTTTTGTCGGTCGTCATTCCGCCGATTGCCAGCTGCCTCCAGGCAGGCCCAGGAGGCCGTGTTCGCTCGGCCGTCTCCCAACGCGCGAGGTGGGGCTTGGCTCTTTTTATCCCTGCCGAGGTAGAAGGACTCAGACATTTACTCGCCCATTACCGTCCTCAACCTTCCTCCAACTCGCTGCCCTCCCCTTAGCTCCCTGAGATCCGACGCATTGAAGTCACATCGACGTGAAGGAAGAGCACGCACGGAGCCCTCGAACCCAACTTTCTGCGGCATTTACCGAGCTGTGCCGATCTGGCAGGGCCTAGGGGAGGCCCGAGCCAGAACGAACGCGCCCACCTTGATTGTTCAGCGCGCCCGAGAAAAGGTCCAATGGCCGACCTTGCGGCAGGAGGACATAGATCTCCAGCCCCACCAAACCATGGCGGTGGAGGTTGTTCCAGGCCTTGGCGCTGTTCGTCCCCGGGACGAAGCAATCGCCCTCCCATAGGGGGCCGCTTCATGCTCGGAGCCGCCACCAAAACGCACCAGGATGAGGGGCTGCTCCTGGGGAGGGGGTCGAGCGTTCTATGGGGCGCGCATCACTACAAGATCGTGGCGTCGATATCTGGAGGAGGAGGGATCTGGCGGGGCTAGGGCGAGCATACATCCATTATGGGGCGTGCCGAAACGCTGTCATAGCATTCTGGGGCGCACTGAGAAGGCCGCGGCGCCCGAGACATCCTCCAGAACCGCGGGATCTCAGAGATTCTGGGTTTATCCTCATCTGATGTTATCCTCGTCCTGACTTCGTATGAAGGAGGGAGGTAGCTATGAAGACGGCACCCCAGTGAATCGGCCTTTCGTATCGCAGTTGTTGCGATGATCTAGCCCTCAGCGGGCTCCTTGCATTTCCACATGTCCCTCCTCTCGTGCAGCTGCTTCGCTTTGCTATTTGAATGTGTGGATTCAGCCAACAGGCCCCATGCCCAATTACCGCCCAATGAAACAATGGAGGGGGAATGTGCAGCAGGAGCAGGACGGTCTTCGGGGCTCCTTGATTTTTCTGCCAGATGCTGCCCTGGGGGGGGGTCGTATTTGGAACGTCTTTTGGCGATTTGCGGAAGTGAGAGGAGGGGGAGGAGGAAAAGGAGGAGGAGGAGGAGGAGGAGGAGGGAGAGGGAGAGGAGGAGGAGGAGGAGGAAGACGACAATGACGCCGAGGGAGGAGGAGGGCGAGAAGGGGGGGAGAAGGAGGAGCACGGGACGAGCAGGGAG